GTCAACTTCATCTTCCGGAGCTATGATTATGCTCACGGCTACCAACTACATGCTATGGAAACTTCTGATGGAAGATTTCCTTAGTTGTAAAGACCTTTTTTATCCAATGGAGATGAAAGGTATTAATCCTGGCCCGCCCAAGTCAATGGAGTGGAAGAAAATTAATAGAAAAACTATTGGTCAAATCCGACAATGGATCGACCATAGTGTCTTCCACCATGTTGCACAAGAAACCGACGCTTATTCCCTTTGGAAGAAGTTAGAAGATATATACCAAGCCAAGACCGCTAGAAATAAGGCCCTACTGATGAGGCGCCTTGTCAATATGAAGCTCAAAAGTGGAACTTCTGTTGTCGAACATACTAGTCAACTTCAGAGTCTGGTAAATCAACTATCTTGTGTAGAAATGCCACTTGGAGATGAAATGCAATCTCTACTACTTCTTAGTTCCCTTCCTGATAGTTGGGAGACACTAGTTGTTACTCTCAGCAACTCAGCCCCAGATGGCAAACTTACCATGTCTGTGGTCAAGGATGCGTTGTTCAATGACGAGGCAAGAAGGAAAGACATGAGCACAAATCAGACTCATGCCCTTGTGACAGAGAATCGAGGAGGATCACAAGGAAAGCAACAAAGAAACAGTAGGGGAGAGTGGCAAAGCAGAGGCTAAAGTCGGGGGATATCATCAGATGGCCGGAAACCTTCTTATACCTGCCACCATTGCGGTATAGAGGGTCACATGAAGAAGAATTGCTATAAATTGCTAGAGGAGCGAGGCAAGAGCAATTCTCAAGCGAAGAACAAGGGTGGTGAAGCGCTCATCACAATCTCAGGTGATGTGGCGTATTATACTATCAATGATGAAACATGCCTTCACGTCTCAAGAGAGGACACTGAATGGGTGGTAGATATTGCAGCATCCTGCCATGTTACTCCCCACATGTACTACTTCACAACTTACAAAGCTGGAGACTTTGGAGCAGTGAAGATGGGCAATTCCAGTTCCTCTGGAATAGCTGGAATTGGTGATGTACAAATAAAGACGAGTACTGGGAGCACAATCACTTTGAAGGATGTCAGACATGTTCCAGACCTTCGGCTCAATCTCCTATCTGTGGTATGTCTTGACGAACAGGGGTATGACAACCACTTTAACAGGGGCACCTGGAAAATGTCAAAGGGCGTTTTGACAATCACTCGAGGACATGTTTGTGGCACATTGTACAAAACTCATTTGAGGGTTTGTACGGATAGCATCAACATTGCTGAGGAGGCTTCTCAGGATCTGTGGCACCTGAGACTCGGTCACATCGGTGAGAAAGGGTTGACAACCTTGATGAAGAAGAACCTTATCAACATTGACAAGAATATTGCAGAAGTGTGTTGCTTTATCTACAATAGAAGCAGGATACATTGCTGCCGCTGAAGCAGGTAAGGAAATGTTGTGGCTAAAGCGCTTTCTCCAAGAACTTGGGATCGAGCAGAAAGAGTACAAGGTACATTGTGACAGTCAGAGTGCTCTAGACTTGAGCAAGAACTCCATGTACCATTCTCGTACAAAGCATATTGGTATTCGGTATCATTGGATACGGGAGACGATTGATCAACATCTCACTGTTGAGACTAGTGAAGATCAATACAAAGGAGAATCCATCAGACATGCTGACAAAGGTGGTGACACCAGATAAGCTAGAGCTGTGCAGAGACATAGCCGGAATGCTTGTTTTGAATATGCCTGGAAGGGGAGAATTGAAGAATTTAATTTCCAGGACATATCCAAGTACAAGAAAATTGAAGAATCCAATTGCAACAACCATGAAGCTTCCTCCATGTGAAAGAAACAACCATGAAGCTTCATCCATGTGCAAGAATGACAAAGGGAGCTTCCTCAACCACCATTGAAGTTTCGTCGTGTTTAATCCCACCTTCCTCCCACCTTCATAGTACCTAGTTTTGGTGCTATAAATAGAGAGCTTGGAGAGTCTTTCTATCATCAAGTAAATTATAATAGATCATCATAGCACAACCAAGAAGAGTTGTGAATATCCTTGAGAGATATGTGAGGTGTTTTGAGAGTTTTTAGTTAGAGCTTGTATGTCTCTTCTTTCTATTCTTGAAAGTAATAGAAGTGTTTTTCTCTCATATTAACATGATCCTGTTATTCCCAACAAGCTAATTAATATAAGATGTGAGTATTTTTTACTGTCAAAATTCATTGTTTACAAAAAAATCAAGCAAGTCCAAAATGAATAAGAAATTTCTATTTTTCTTGTGTGCTTATTGTAGAGTATCATGCAGGTTATGAAGATATATTGAACCACATTGAAATATTCAGTTGTTCATCAATTTTGAACGTATAATCTAGAGAAATGGTCTAGAATAGGACTAAAAAAAGTCTATGAACCTAAATAAGAGTGACGTCTTTTTAATCCGTGAATAAGACTTCATTTAATAGGTATGGACACATTTACCCTTCTATCTCGGATAGTACACTGAACCTTATCTTTTCCTAATCTCACGACAATCTTTATCTCTCCTCCGTGGCTCAACCTCGTCGTACGCTCTCTCTTCTTTCTCTTGATCCAAAAAATGAAAAGGTGGAATCTCCCACCCCAGGAGCCCCCCACCCCGACCCGACAGGATGGTGGGGAGGTTAGTCACGGTGACTCAGTCAGCAGAATGGTAGTAGACCCATACACCCGTGCACACCAGAGGCCCAGCCTTATTTCAGATTCTGTGACCTCCACCCGCTCTCTCTTCTTTCTCCATAGAAAAGCAGGGGAGCTTCAGGATAGATAAGACACAAAAACACTCCAACGGTGATTGGCAGCGGCGGCTCGACGGAGAAGATGCGGCAGCACAACAGCTGCGGGGAGAGGGCAGGCTCGACGGAGAAGATGCGGCGGCACAACAGTTGCAGGGAAAGGGTGAGCTTGCAGAACAGCTGCGGCGAGAGGATCTGTGTTCTATCCTCTTCTTCCCCTCTTCTTGCCCTCTTCTTCTTCCTCCTCTTTTTCTTCTTCTCTTGGATAGATATGCAAATATCTTCTTTTTCTTCTTCTCTTGGGTAGATCTGGGAATGAGAACTTTGGTGCCTTGGTCAATGGTCATACGATACCTTCTAAATTTTGGTTCTCTTTTACAGGAGGCGGATAAATTTTTTTCTCTTTATTTTGTTCAATACGAAGTATTTGTTTTAGAGATCTGGGAATGAACTTTGGTGCCTTGGTCATATGGTGCCTTCTAATTCTTCTCCTCTTCAAATTTTTTGTTTCAACTTCTTACTTTTGTAGAGATATTTGTTTTGTTTTGTTTTTGTTTAATACTTTTTGGATAAAATTTGATTCAAATGTAGTGGAAAATTGACACTATTTGATACAATTTCCCAAAAAAAAATTGTCATTGTAAGACAATTTTTGAATCTATTTGACAAGTATTCTAATCTTTGAATCTATGTGCTTCATATTTTCAAATCTTGTGATAAAAACTTTACCACTAGTTCATTGATTAGAAGAAAAGTGACAAAACTTTGGGAGTACACAAAAAACTGGCCCAATGATGACAAATTTATAAAAGATGGAGTTGGATGGAGGGAGAATATTTATTTATACACCTATGCAGTTGGTGTTTAGTACTCCCTCCACCCCCTATCTTTGTTTCATTTTTTCGTATTTCACTAAGTTTGTCGCATATCATATTTGGTAAAATTTGAATGATTTCAATTAATTCTGACTTAATTTACATTTTATCAATTTAATATTAATCACACAATTTCATTTTTTTAATAATCGGGCCATTCCCTATTTTCCCAATGTTAGCGAAGACGAGAGAAGATTTATGGACACCCATATGACTTCCTTATGAAGTCATATGGGTTGGTGTCATAACCATCGTCATTCATTTATTTAGTGGATGATCCCACAAAATAAATGAATGGTGATAGTGCCGCAATACTCATGTGACTCTGTAAGGGAGTTATATGGACTCCTTAACATTTTTGGATTGGGTCACATATTTTTTGGATATTGTCTTCCTTTTTTGAGAAAATTGTATCCCTTTTTGAATCATCAAAACTTATTAAGTATTAGGACTGGGTCCGAAAAATCGAAAACCGAAAACCGAATCAAATCATATCGAACCGTAGCCAAATAAAACCGAACCGCTAACAAACCGAAACCGAATGTAAAAAACCGAACCGAACCGTAGTTGTTTGGTTCGGTTTTGGTTTTTACCCTTCAAAACCGAACCGAACCGAACAAACTGAACTAGTTAAAATATACGGAGTGAAATTTATTTGTCCATTGTTAAGCATTAATCCTAACTAATCCTAATATCATTAATAGTTTTTGGTTTTCTTGTGCTAGAGAAATAATGTTTGTTATGTTTAGTTTAGTTTGTGAATTCATTTACACATTCATTGCACGTAATAATGTAGCTATACTGATAATATGTTTTTACTTGTTATTAGTATTAATTAACTTTTATTTTTATATAACTTAAAGAATTCGTATTGATGAAACAATAAATATTTATCTCAACTATATCACATATAACGTATACACTCATGAACTTTTTTTGAACTAGTCACAAACAATGTAAATTAATAATATATACTTTTATCTCTCTCGCATACTCATATAATTCATGATATATATATATTTATTTTCATTTTTATTTTATTTGTTGTAGTGTGCTTGCATTCTTTATGTAATATATGTTTGATCCCTCAAAGTATTATATCAATTTAAAATCTAATGATATTTTTTTGGTAAAAACCGAAAAAACCGAAACCGAATCGAAACAAACCAAACCGATTAAACTGTGGTTCCAAGTTTTGGAGTGTAGAACCGAACCGAAACCGAACCGAACTTTTTACTTTGATTCTATATTTGGTTTTAGGTCAAAACCGAACCGCAAGAACCGAACTCACCCCTATTAAGTATTGCGTATTGAAATAATTAAAAAATGGATTGGGCCACTATTTTCTGGGCCATTGCTACAAATCCATTCATGCCAACTGCCAACTTGGCAAGAACCCCTGAACGTCGGTGCAAGTTTTCTCCGTTGCCAATTTTCTCGTTCTCTTGCGGAAAATCACTCGCCACAGATTTCAGTGCCCGCTCATCTTACAGGTATTCTCTAATTCGTTTTCAATCTTGCCTAGATTCTCAATCCAAATCTTATTACGAAGAGCTAAGGAAATCAGAAGATGGATTCGCCATCTCAGAGTTTACAGTTCTTCGTTCAGTTCCCAGACCTCAAAATCCCTACTCGTGCTTTGGTTATTGAAACACCGACCCCCGATTTCACAATAAACGACCTCAAATCATTCGTCTTGTCCGAAACCCTAACCCTAGATCAAGACTCCGTCTATTTCACCTTAAATGGGAAACTGATCCCAGATTCTACCCCTGTAAAAAGTTCCCTGATTTCTCCCCTGTCTACCTTAACCCTCCACCGTCGCCTCCTTGGTGGGGGCGGAGATGGCGGCGCCACAGGGGCGGAATCTCGAGACTGTTACCTCAAGATGTATGCTGAGAAGAAACCTGACAAAATTGATCAAAACGAGCGTAGATTATCTAAGTGGTTGAATTGTACGTTGTCAAATGAGCCACTTAGACACCCTGTGGTGACTGATAAGCTAGGGAATCTGTTTAACAAGGAGGCCTTGGTTGAAGCTTTGTTGAGGAAACAAGTACCCAAGCAGTTTTCATACATAAAGGGATTGAAAGATATGGTCCCTATAGAATTATCATCTATTCCGGGCATGGATGGTCCTGTCTTGTGTGGTGAGACTAGGTTCCAGTGTCCCATATCAGGGTTGGAGTTTAATGGGAAATATAAATTCTTTGCCCTTAGGACTTGCGGGCATGTTTTCAGTTCCAAAGCTTTGAAAGAGGTCAAGTCTTCCTCTTGTTTGGTTTGTCACAAGGAATTTATGGAGAATGATAAGATTGTGATAAATGGAAGTGAAGATGAGGTTGCAGCATTGAGAGAGAAGATGGAGGGAGAAAGGGTAAAACTTAGAGATGGTAAGAAGACGAAGAAGGGTAAAAATGGGGATTTAGCCCATAATGTAGAGGGTGGTGATGTCACACGCTTGAGTGGGACCAAACATGGTATTGATGATAAGGTTGGAGAGAAGGGGAAATTGGAACTGAACAAGAAAGTTGGTTCCAATGGTAAAATAGAAGTGAAGAATGTTATCAATGGAAAGCGGTTCAAGGCTGTTGATAATGCGCCAGCTAATGCCACCAAGGAAGTGTATGCATCTATTTTCACATCTTCCAGGAAGTCTGATTTCAAGGAGACTTATTCTTGTCGATCACTGCCACTCGGAAGAAATTGATGAGCTGGGAGTATCTCAGGGATGATGAATAGTGTCTTTATCTGCTTTTATTTTCATACCGGGTATGTAAACCTTCCTTGATGCATAGTTGCTTGCTTAGAAGTGGTATTTATTTGATGTACTATTGTGGATAATGGCTTTGTATTTGATAAAGTGACTTGAGGTTGACATTGAGTCTGCGTTGATGTTTCTATTCTTCTCTTTGTTAATGATTTTATCTAATAATCTATTGGAATGCTTACTGCTTAGGCCTTGCGGTGGCTAAGGGCTAGCGACTTGTATTTTGGTTATTCATAATTTCATATTCACTTCTGTAGGGTCTGTTTGATCCTGGAAAAGGGAAAGAATATGTTAAGGTGACAAAATTGAAAGGAAATTCAATGAGTTGTGGTGAAATTGACAACTATGATTCTTACTTTTGCCCAAAACAACATTTTCCAAGTCTAAAGGAAAACGGAAAGAATATGTTAAGGGGACAAAATTTGAAAGAAAACGACTTTTGGTGAAATTGACAACTATAATCCTTACTTTTGCCCAAAACAACATAATCTGAGTCTAATTAAAGGAAAAGGGAAAGAATATGTTAAGGGGACAAAATTTGAAAGAAAAAAAAACTCAAATGACTTTTGGTGAAATTGACAACTATAATCCTTACTTTTGCCCAAAACAACAATAAGAATAAGACGAACAGAACAGCCTCTTAGTTCCAAAGAAGTTTGAGTTTAGCTAACATGAATTGACAAATGAAATCGGAATTAAAAAATATATAAAGATAAGAACTTCTATGAATCCTTACTTTTGCCCGTTTTATAGGAACCACCTCCTCAAGGTAGTCAAAGTCGAGCGCCTGGGCGCTTAAGCGCACCAGGCGCAGCGCACAGAAGCCCCAACGCTTGAAGAACGATCAGGCGCACCCAACTGCCTAAGGCCAAAAGTGAGCGATAAAAAGCTTAGGCGTTGGTAGAAAGCTTCAAAAGCGTTGTAGCACAACTGCGATAAAAAGCGCTCACTATTTGCGTCTAATTGGGGAACACGTTTTTTTTAAGTTTAACGATACAGTTCAGACATGTCGTCAAATAAGAAGCCCATATTTTTAATAAAGCCCGTCTAAATAAGGTCAAAACAACATATATCTATTATCTACGCTAAACAACAAACCGTAAACCTGATGTGCTCTACTCAAGTTACCTGTTCGCTCCTCCTCCTATCCTCCACATACTGCAGAAGTTGGCAGCAGTAAGCTTTCTTCTCCATCATTCCATTTTTTTTTTCTTTTTTCTTTTTTCAGTGTCTACTTCTTCTTATATACTCTATGCAACTTAAACATATATATGTAAACTACCAGTATAATGGTCTATCATGTGCATTAACACTCTTCATTATGTCATTTTCTTTCTTCTTTACTTTTTCAGCACTTGTTATATAGTTTATACGTACTCTATTACTCTAGATACCTAAAATCTAATTATGTTTTATTTTTCAGTTTGAAAGTTTAAGACTTTAAGTTATGAATTCTAAATTTGGTTTTGCTTTTGTGAATCATGACCTTATTTTGGTTGATCATGACTTATTTTTTATGAAACATGACTTTATTTGTGGGAAACCTGACTTTTTTATGTAGTTAGTTCCATAGGGTGTTATATACATCATGTTTTATTATTGAAGAATAGTATATGTGATACTTTCTAAGCAATGCGCCTGACATGAGTCACACGAGTGCTTTTTTTGTGCCTTGCACCTCAGGGGAATACCCTATCGCCTTGAGTGTGTCTTACGACTTTGACTACCTTGCACCTCAGGGGAATACCCTATCGCCTTGTGCCTTATTCTTTGTATGTGTAAAAGTAAAGATTATTAATGTCAATTTTAACATAAATTTATTGTTGGTGTTGTTTGAACTCTAAATTTACTGTTGATATTGTCAATTTATTGTTATGCAATCTATTGTTGACGTATAGATTGTATAAAAATCTTATTTCATTTTCCAGTGTTTTTTTGTTTATGAAAATAAACTTTCTAGATTTTCTTTTACCTTTCCCTAATAGTTTCCAATAGGATTAAGCATATCAGTTTTCGGTTCGGTTTGATCGGTTTTCGGTTCAGTTCGATTTGGAACATATTGGAAGAACGGTTACCAAACAAAAATCATACTTTGTAGTTTGTACTATCTTTCGGTTTAGTTCGGTTCGGTTCAAATCGTTATCTTTTAATAACATATGAAGGTTTTATTGAATTTCTTTAATTTTGTTAGGTTCAGTTTGGAAGAAATACTACCAAATTCAAACCAAATTGCATATAATTCGGTTTAGTTTGGCTTCGTACGGTTCAGTTCGATTAAACCAAACCGATATGCACACCCTAGTTTCCTTGATGTGTACTATAACTAAATTTCAGCATAAATTAAAGAACTTTAGAAATCTATAGGGTACATTTTATTTAGTAAGTCTACTATAACTGCATATAATGATTTTTTCACGCTATCTAAGAGGGTCGAGCGAGGCAAAAAGCAAACGACATGATCTTGGCAAAAGGGAAAATGAAAACTTTATCCATGTCATTAATCTATACGGTACTGTAATAGTATGAGGACTTATTTTACAGTTTTGTTACTGATTTAGTGAGTATACTATAACTAAACATAATGATCTTTCCAAGCTATTTTAGAGGGTCGAGCAAAGAAGCAACAGCATGATCATGGCAATAGGAAAAATAAAAACTTTGGATGTTTTTACTTGGATTGTAATTCCTCCCAGACCAGACCAGACTTGGATAGTTATAAAAATACAAAGAAATCAGACCAGACTAGACCAGACCAGCAAATTACCGTCCAAGTAAAAACATCCTTTATCTATGTCGTCCACCGGTATTTGACTTTTAGTTTCAAGAGCTCCATGAATAATAATTCATCCTATGAAGGTCAATGTCTGTGTTCTGAAGTTAATTCAATCGGGTATTACGTTTCAGGAGAAGCTGGGAATTTTCCTCCACGTGCAGTGTCTCTAGCTGCTAAACTTCCATGAGTTTAATTTGATCTCAATGACGATGATATCGTGATGGGTTTTGATGCTTAAAATGTTTTTGGTGTCTTCTTGGATTGTGTTAAAGAACAATGTGTGTTAGTTTACATTTCACAGTCCTGAAGCAATGGAGATACCTACTGGAGAAACTCCAGGCCGTCAGATGAGTAGATCACAACCATCTATTGAGTATGTGTGCTGGATTTGCAAATCATTTTTTGAGGCTGATTCTGACTGTTAGTAGAGTTCCTCAATTTGATGATGTAATATTTCAACCCTCTTAATTTCAAGCTTGGGATACCAATAAACTTCATTATGTCCTCGGTCGACACGGTCCCGTTCCCGGGAACTGACCAGATCGTGACCGGCCAGTTTTAGGATCAAGCTGTGTCTGGAAAATAATGTTCCATTTATATATTTTTGCATTTGAACCATTGTAAAGCATTTTGAAAGGGGTGGATACTTTTATAAGCTGAAAAGGGGGCACATTTGAAAAATTGAAAGCATTTTGGGAGCGGGATGGAGGGTTTAATTTAAAAAAAACATCGAGATTGAGCCAGGACTGCAAGGGGATTGTACCGGGATCGGCGGGGAACCGGGCCTGATTTGCAACCAGAAACATAGGTCTCGATCCCAAGCCCCATATCTCTTCCTCAAGAATCGATCAGTCCGGAATAGGGATGGACCCGGTCCGATTCTGGGCCGGGCACGGGCGGGCTTTTTTTCAAATGGTTGGGCCTGGAACCGGCCCGGGTTGATACCGGGTCCGGTCCTAACCGGGCCGAGCCCGGGTCAAGTTAATTTTTTTTCTTTCTAACTAACCCCTGACCCCCCCCCCCCCCCCCCCCCGCTCACCCCCACCCCCAACTCCCCCCCCCCCCCAAAACACCCAGCCCTAACCAAGAAAAACAAAAAAAAAATAAAAAAAAAGCTCAGGCCCGGCCTGAACCGCCCAGGCCGGTTCAACAAATATTGGGCCGAGCTCGGCCCGCCCACCCCTCCCCAACAGGGTAAAAGCCCGGACCCGGTTAGCACCAACCGGGCCGGTCCGGGCCCGCACAGTGGCGGGCCGGGCCGGTACCAGACCGGGCTGAACCGGTTGGGTCCATCCCTAGTCGGGAACCGGTCAACCAGGCCGTGTCCACCCCTAAATTTGATTATTAGTTCTTTTCCCATAAGGTATAGAAACTTGTCCAAACCAGTGTAGGTTCTTGAGAAATAGGATATGTTCATTTTTTGCTTTATTTATTTCTAAAACTTGGAAGCAGATAATTAGATAATAACTGGACCAGAAATAAAATCAGTCTATGTAAGATAAAATGGTGGTCAAATGGTACATGAAGTTGTTTCAAGTGGAGCAAGTAGTACTCCATCTTACACTTTAAAGTACACGATAACATGAACTTGCACTTTTAAAGTCGATAAGTACAAACTATCAGTTTGTAATATATCGTTGCCGTCCAAATAATTAATCTATAAATTCTAATTTCCTCTAGTCCACTCGTTTTCACCTTCGCTCTTCATCTTATATTTCTCATGTTTGCTCTACATTCTCTCCGCTCTTCATCTTATATCTCTCGTCTGCTCTCCAAGAGCGAAGTCAGGGCATTGTGCTGGACTCGGCCAATATAAAGAATATATTTGGTAAAAATATTACACATAATTTGTACTTTAAAATTAAAGCATTTTTTAAATTGGGAAAAGGTACAAATATACCCTTGTAGTATAGATGTGGGAACAAATATACCCGTGCTCTATTTTTTGGAACAAATATACCCCTGAAGTATATGTTGAAGTGCATATATACCCCTGAACTTTTAAAAAGTGCAAAAATAGCCTTCATGTTCTTATAAAAGAGAAAATTTACCCTTATTGACTTTAAATTGATAAAATAACTTTCAAAAATCCAAAAATAAATTATATATTCGAAATTAAAAAATATTTATTTTTTAAAATGTACTTGTGTCCAATTCTCCCTTTTATTGTTTGTATATCACAATTTAATATTGTTAGTATAAAATATTATTTCAAAACTTTGCTATCTATATATTCAAGATTATTTCGAAAAAGTGTTAATATATGTGTTGCAATGTTAAAAACAATTATTTTTTGCATTCTTTGCACTATAATATCACATATCTTTGTACGATGATAAATAGTCCAATATTACAAAATCGTGAATTTAATTTTATTGAGGTTAAACAAAATCAAAGAATGTAATTTAAAAAATTGTAACAATGTGTTCAAAATTTCGCAACAAGTCTATTTTAAAACTAATGATTTTGAAGTGCTTCATTTACAAAGAAAATAATAATAATTTTCAATTGAAAATTAAATATTTAATATTTTAACATAATAATAAATATTTATTTTTAAATTTTGAATTTATAATTTAGTTTTGGTGTTTTTTGAAATTTATTTTTTTCTATTTAAAGTTAATAAGGGTAAATTTGCCCCTTTATAAGAACATGGGGGTATTTTTGCACTTTTTGAAAGTTTAGGTGTATATATGCACTCTAACATATATTTCAGGGGTATATTTGTTTCGAAAAATAGAACAGGTGTATATTGGTTCCCGCACCCATAGTACAGGGGTATATTTGTACATTTTCCCTTTTAAATTTGGGATGAACCACGACCTAGGTTGACTCCCCTGTAGCTACGCCCCTCTGGCTTCGACCTAGTAATATCCCCCTCTAGCTATCAGTTTATCTTTATTATAGCAAGGGAAGAAGAAAATAAAATAGAGCAAAAAGAAGCCGGCGGGATAGCAGGGAAAGCAGACGAGAGAAATATAAGATGTAGAGCAGAGAGAAAGGAGAGCAGATGAGAAAAATGTAAGATCATGAGCAAAGGTGAAAACGAGTGGACCGAAGAAAATAGATTAGTTATTTGATGACTTGGGTTGCAACTGTATAATACAAACAGATAGTTTGTCCATGTCAGCTATTTTAACGTTCTGACATAGCAGATGTACTTGATCGACTATAAAAGTACAAGTTTATGTACTTTAAAAAATAAAATTTTGACCATTTTCTCGTTTATGTACATATAGTCAATGAATCATTTCTCCTATTATGTAGCCCAAACTCTAGTTCAGATCTGGTACCAGTTCAACCTCTAATTCTATATTTCTAAATCAAGATGAAGGGAGGCTTGGGGTACATATTCACTTGTTTAGGGGGGTATATTCACTTTGTATGATTTTTTTTACTCCAGGGGGCATCTGGGGGAGGGGGGCTCGGGGAGCCTGGAGTAATTTAGGTTGAAACTCACTATTGAGGTTTATTCCCCTCAACCCGCAGGCCCAACATGTAATCTGGGGGTTTTGAATGGGTGGAAAGCAAAACAAGCTCACTAAACAACGGGGAGTGGGTTAATAACTGTATTTCATTCACTTTAGCGATTACAAGCCAAGGGGCCGAACGTACTGAGCTAAACTACGTGTCGTTGATGCTATTACAATTTCTAGAGTGTCGAAGTGCGAACCCTTTACAATGAAATAAATGCGACTATTTATAGTATCCCATGGTGGTTGGGGGGGGCTGACGTGGCCGGCTGTGGGCGACATGATTCCAACTACCAAATCTCCCGCATTTAATGCGCTTCCCGCCAAGATCTTGGTTTCCCGCCACAGCGTGGGGGACGTCCGTCCCCTAAACTGGACTCAGCCCTCTGGTGGCAGCCTGGGCCCTTGGCGTAGTCCACACGATGCTCGTCCCCTGGCCCTTGGGCCCTCAGGCTTGGTCCTCCGGAGGCTACGTACGTCCTCTGGACCTTGGGCCCTGAGGCTTGGCTACGTTGAGACGTACGTCCCCTAGTCCTTGAGCCCTGAAGCTTGGTCCTACGGGGCTACGTACGTCCTCTGGCCCTTGGGCCCTGAGGCCTGGCCATGCTGGGCTACGTACGTCCCCTGGCCCTTGGGCCCTGGGGCCTGGCTATGCTGGGCTACGTTCGTCCCTAGGGGTTAATGGGCCGGCCCTGGTAGGCCATTAACCCAACACAAGTCCCCCACTTCTGATGTTCCGAGCGTGCGCGGGACATAAAGAAGTAAGATAACTTCCGCCGTACCACCTCGAGCCGTTACTCCCTTTTCCTCTAGGTGACGGTTGCTTCCCGCCGCTGTTGGCAGGGCTCTAGGTGCCAGCTATCTGGCCGGTTCAACTTCCAATACCAAAGTAATCATTTCGTATCAGCCCGTCTCTACGCGACACGCGTCCCTGTATACGCTCCTTGCCACGTGTCGCCTGCGGGTTGGTCGCTGATCTGGCGCCTCCCCTTATAAATACCGGGAATATGGGAAGGGTTAGGGCTTTTCATCCGTTGTCTCCTCTTGCCTTCCCAGCGCCGTTCAGCGATTATTTCGAGTTCCGGTGTTCATCCCTCCCCAAGCTTTTAGCAAGGTAATTCCCTAATCCTGACCTCTTCCTTTCTTTTCGTAAACCTCCCCATGGCCTGCTCCATGGTGATTTCTTCCTCTTCGGAAACTGGCTCTAGCTCTTCTACCGGCTCTTCAGCCGGTTCATCTTCGGCATCAGAACTCAGATCCCGTTCCTCGGCGGAAGCGAGCGGTTCTGGCCGTTCCAGCGCTTCTTCGATGACAGTCCCTGATGCAGTAGCTGATGCCGCAATCCCGGTCACAGGAGAACATGTTGATATGGCCGTCGATCCTGAGAACGCTGTTGCGATGATGTCACAACCTGTCGCGGCGGTGGGGCATTCAGCCGATCATGACTCGGGTGAGGAGGCCGAAGAAGGGGACGACCTCCGGATCTACAAGCTCGGCGTCCCTATGGATCATCACAGGCACATAGTGCTTATTCCCAATGTAACCGTGATCGAACAGGTCTTCTCCAAGAGGGCCCTGAGGGAACTACAAATTATTCTCCCCCCGCCTGCTTACTATAGCCTCCGAGGTGCAGATAACCTCCTCATGAGACGTCCGGGCATGGTGATGGTGCACATGGATTCTTTAAAGGCCGGACTGCGCTTCCCGCTCCACCCGTTTTACCTTGATTTCTTCGAGTTTTACAATGTTGTTCCGGCCCAATTCATGCCGAACTCCTACCGTTTGATCTCTGCCTTCCTCGTTCTCTGCAAATCGCTAGGGCTCACCTTTTCACTAGGGCTTTTTCATTATTTTTTCCAAGTCACTCCCCAAAATGCTGATGGGTTCCTGAGTGTGGCCGCTCGTCCCAAACGAAAGTTGTTCGAGGGGGCTCCCACCTCTATCCACGACTGGAAAAATCGCTTTTTCTTTATTCGCTATGCGGACGAGCGGCTTCCTGTGAGGTGGAATGGATACCCTCCGAAGGTTCAGGCGCTGGAGCTAACCCCGGCGTTGTGGGATGCCGTGGATAAGCTGAGCTTGGGTAGCGTTAGGAAGCTGAAGGGCTTTCTGACCATTGAGGCACTTTCTGACGCAGGGATAGGTACCGCCCGTGATCCCTGGACTGTCCTTCTCTTATGTTCATCTTGTGGGC